AAACTCAAGCACTAGAAATACGACCCTAATGGCAGGGACTTGAGTATGATTTCAAGCGCTTTAAACCATACTCAAATCCCGACTTGAGCATTGAGTAGAGTTGTAGAATACGAGCCTTAGATATAAGTTGATAAGTCCCATGAGCCTGTAATTTCACTGGCATCCTTACCATTTCAAATCGGAACGCAGTAATGCTGACATTACTGATTGGCGGCAGATATAGGTAAGGCGGCAGTACTTTCCTGGACGAACTCTTTCACAAGGAGCCTACTGCTACTAAATCTAATTATTTAATATTATTATTGTAAATTTTACTCACGTGCCTGCCTAAGAGTTGGGCAACTTTGTCATAAGGCAAGATTTTCATTCCAAAGTCACCCCGCTGAGTGCTATACAAACGGGATGAAACCTCAACTATGTTTGTATGTAAATTTTTGTGAATCTGGAATAAAATTATAAAACTGTATCTACACCACACACGTTCAAACCAAAACTGGTCACTAAACTATATGACGCTTTTTCAAATTTTTATGCCCAGACCGCACAAAGGCGGCTGCGGAAGCGTTTCGGGCGCGAGAATTTTTGTAGTTTTTATGAACCTGAAATGCGCGTCTCGGTCGCAAAAATTCTCGCGCCCGGAACGCTTCCGCGGCCGGGTTTAATTACTATGTGAGTGCGAATGACGATTACGCGAATTATGATAGTGCGAAGACGGTTGCGCGAAAGCTTAAATGAGCGAAAGTTCATTTGCGCGAATGGTCCGTTGCGCGAAGCTTAAATGCGTGTTAGTTCATTTTGCTTTAAAGCTGGAAGGCAAATTAATTGTTGCAAGTGCTCCCATGGCTGCAGGTTATTACAATTCGGAGAAAAAACCCGTTATAATTTTTTAAAATTTTCGATAATGTTTTTTTGATTGATCGTAATTAAAGATTGTTTTGTTTGGTTAATTTAAACAAAAATAAACGTATTATATTGATTATGAAAGCTTTGCATTGCAAAGAATCGCAACAACTTGCAGCTATAGGAGTACTTGCAACAATTAACATGCCTTGCCTTGCAATAATTAGCTTTCGCAAATGTATCTTCGTGCTATCGTCATTCACGCATTTAAACTTTCGCGCAACTGACCATTCGCGTAAATGTACTATCGTGCATTTAAGCTTTCGCGCGATCGTCTTCGCACTATTGTCATTCGCATAATCGGCATTCGCACTCTCGTAGTGCATCATCCGCGCGCGGGGTGACCGCCTCTGTGTGGCCATTTTTAGAAAATTTAATCGCCATTTTCCGAAAGTTGCCTTTTTTGTTTAGTGATGAGCTCAATGTTTTTTTTTATAACATCAAGTGACGGGACGAACAAGTCGTGCACCTGATGGTAAGCTACACGCCTGTCCATAACAGTTACAGTGCCACTCAGAGCTTTAAATTGCAAAGATCTGAGGGGCACTACCACTGCGCCTGTCACCCTGAGACAGAAGTTGACAAGTCCCATGTGCCTGTAATTTCAATATGTGCGATATGATATCGATACCCGCCAAGTTAGTAATTGAAAAACACTCAGTAATGTTATAGTATTGTTTGTAAAAGATTTTTTTTCAATTTTGCAGAGACTGGTTCTAGCACTAAGTTAAGCATGTACTTATTTCAAGGCGCCTCGTCTCTATTTCCTTAAGGTTATGCTATAGTGTGTGCGCCTGAGTGTGTATTATGCGAAATAGAAGGACATTGGATTAAATAACAGAGACAATGTGAGTAAATATAGATAATATAATATGGACGCTGGAAAGATAATGTGCATTTAGAAAATATCACAAGAGAGCGATTTAAAGTTTCTTGTTTTTTTTAAGAAAAGAATAATAATTCTAATTTTGTGTGTGATATGGAAAACTAAAAAGGTTCAGTTTTTCCATTTAACAAATGAAGTTAGAGTTATGAATTATTTTTCTTAAAAAAAGTAGGTAACTTTAAATCGCTCTCCTGTAATATTTTTCAAATGCACGTTGGACGTGTTACCTTTCCAGCGTCGATATCATTATCGTTCCCTTGATATAATAAAGCCACGAGTAATATACGTCAAAATTGCTTAAACCATACGCAGTTGTAAAAATAATACGAATTACATGAAACAAATTATGTAAGTAGACATGTGAAATTTTATAGCTCTCCTATTTGTGCATAAAAATAAGAATAAAATAAAATACTTTAAACCTTTCTTCTGAAAAGTTACCATTTTGCAGATGTGACCTTATTACATCAATGGTACTTTACATCCTCATGACAGAGTACTGTGATCATCAAATCATAATCTCGGAGAGGGCAATTTGCGGTAAAATGGAGATGCCAGTTGAATAGTCCAGGGAAAGAATGAGTCACTGGAGGAGAATTTTAGGAAAAAATAATTTTTAATTAGAAAAACTTTGAAATATTGTTGAAAAGGACACCCACAACAACTACCCGAAATGAAATCAATGCTGACTAAATGTGTGTAACGCTGTGTAACTCATTTTTAACTTTTCTACCATTTAGAGCGGTTACACACGCGCGCGATATTAAGCAGCGATGCAAGCGCGCGACAACATCGATACTGCTACTACCTGAAATAAAGTCGGTGCTGACGTCAATGTACGCCAACAATATGTAATCTATTTTAACTTAACTTTTCTACCATTTAGTCGCAAGCATTTTTATGACTAATGGTAAAAGCTAAGTTTTCAGGACATTGAACCTTATATTAACCTTATATTTTTGATTTAAGGCCCATTTAGATGGAGAGAGTTTCTCGCACGCTTCGTGACGAAAACTCGTAGGCGATTATCGTAAGCAATAACCGCCATAAGATTATCGTATCACATTCATTCAGGCAAGAATTAAAATCTCGCCTACGGTTATGTCATACGAGATTCGCAAGCAACTTAATCGCCTCCTCGACTGTTTACACAGAGAAATATGTAGTAAGGAGATTCTTGCTTACGAGTTTTCGACTTGTCTAAACACGATCTCGTATGACATTTTTCCAAGTTCATACGATTATCTTACAAATCGGTTCGAATCGTTTTGAGTGCGAGAATCGCCATTCAGTGATTACTGCGGTATTGACTATGGACATATCGAAATGACGCAAAAATCATTCAAATTTGGAGTTCCAAATGACAATACTGAGTTCATTGCATTGTAGAGAAATATACATTTTTTTTTTTTGCAAATTTTATAACATTCTTAATCCAATTTTTTTTTTTCGTTTTCGTTTCATTAATTCTTGTCTTAGAAAAGCAGTGATAATCAAAACACCCTCGCGCACTGCACTCGTAGTAGAAACAGATGGCACAGAAACTCGAAATACGATTTTTGCTTTCGAGTTCTGTTTACACGGAGACGTTCAATATTGAAAGGCGAGCCGATTATCGCTCACGTGGACGATCGATAATCGCAAATGTTTAGACGAGGAAAGTTTTTTATATTCTTTCGATAATCGTATCTTCGAGACGACAAACTCTCTCCATCTAAATGGGCCTTTAGGCAAATTACGGTCAGCGTTTACCGAACTGGATGGCGGTACCATTCTTTTCCTGATCTCTTCAGTTGTATTGTAGCTGTGCATCCTGCTGCAGATCTCGTACCCCGCATGGATTTCCACGTCTACTAGCGTCCCCAGCTCGCTTTATCTGCACACTTACCTCAATGGCATAGTCATGCTTCCTGTAGCTGAATGTGCCTGTATACTTTTTTGTCTCGTCAGGCATAACGACAATTACATCGTGACCTACGGTTACTTCATGGAAGTTTAGCATTCCCGAAATGGTGCCAGTAATTTCCTGTGTGGTAGAACTGGAAAAAACAATAAAGATACATAAAGCTGCCTTTCCACCAGAGTTGTGCGAGGAAGCGAGGCGTTGTGAGGACGTGTAGCGGCGCTGTGAAGCGATGTTATGTTTACCAATGCTAAGAGTGGCGGCGATGTGTCAGTGTCAGTAAGTGTCACACTTTCAGTAGCTCTAGTTTCCTACACCGTTTTGCACACATTCCTCGCCCGCATCCCTCGCACAAATTCCTAATATTGTAATTCCATTTGTTAAATAAATTTAAAAAAATAATTTAATATTTGTTTCTGGTCCCTATAATTCTACTATGGAACCAAGGGTGGAACTAACGGTCCGAAAGGAATTTAATTCCAAACTGTACGTACTACGGATAACAAAAAACAACATTTGCCATGGAACTATTACGTAATGGAACGACGGCATAAATGATTGCCTCTGTACCATCAATGGAACTGTCTGATGCTACTACGCTAAAGAAAGGTCCTCGCACACATCTCTCGCTATTTTGTATGTACAAATACTTAGCTCCGCTAGCCCTTTTCCACCCGAGCTGCGCTAAGCGAGGCTAGGACAATGTTGTAATCGTGTTGGTAGATTTTTTTCCTAGCACACCGCCTCGCTACGTCGCACATCTCTGGTGGAACGGCAGCCTTAGAAAACATTAGAGACTACGAGAACCTACGTCTGTGCCAGGGCGACCTCTCTATCAACTACGTTACAATTACAGTCAGCAGACTTTACGAATTTGTCTATACGTTTGTTAGAGATATTTGGTTTTGGTAATAATGGATTTTTTGCCTTAGCGCCATCTGTGAGAAATCTATGAAAGTATTTTCTTCACACGACTATGTAGGTCCAGGTAGCAAAGAGTACATTATACTTAACGGGTATCAATGACTTTATACTTTTTGATATCAGATCAAGGGAAAAAGAGATCTGGTATCTGTGCGATTCAGAGTCAGCCACCTCGTTTACCTTGGTTTGCAGAGTGCGATTAGAAAAATAGTTGTCATCGCACTAAGGATGAGAACCGGACACGTTCCATTAAACAGTTATGCCTTCTTAATGAAAAAAATCAATTCTCCTAATTGCGAGTTATGTGGAGTAGTGGAAGATGTATATCATTTGTTACTGGAATGTGTCCGGTACGAACAAGAGAGGGCGGCGTTGATGAGAGACCTGCAGATCAACAGAACGTCCTTGCGTACTATAAATTGTATATTTAGCAATCCCCACACGAAACAGACAAAAAGGCTATTACTATACAACGTATAAAAGTTCCTAAATATAAATAAAGATAAAAAAATGATATTATACTTGTTAAACCCCTGATGGGTAACGCGGGAAGTACTTTTAACCGACTTCAAAAAAAGGCGGAGGTGAGAACCTCCGATATTTCGACTGTATTTTTTTGTATGTTACACGATAACTTACGGATTTTCTGAACCGATTTTGATGATTCTTTTGTTGGAAAAAAGATACTCAATATTGGTTCCATTTCAATTTGAAGAAAATATTCCATCTCTAAGGGTGGCAAACTAGGGGATGAATCCGGTTTCGCGCACTTTCCGGTAACCGATTTCAATAACACTTGGCAAATAGATGTAATTCCGAGAACTTTTGTGGTAGGTTTTTTTTGTACTCTGTACTGATCGTTATTTGCCTATACATTACACCTTATCCATAACTTCATTCTTTCTACTGGCATACAGGGTTCATGTTTTTATTTATTTATTCAAGCTTTTGAATTGTTATTTTCGGAAATTGCTGTGAACACTACAGAATCATTAAATTCCTCCCCTTCTCTTGCTATTGATCTCCTAAAGGAAAATGTTAACGTTTGTGGCAGTTTATTTAATTTCCGTCATGTTAACCCACAAGACATCATAAAAGCTTCTAAATCAATACATGTTAAAAAAACTGGATCTCTGTTGATCTGAAAGATCTCTGGGGCATATCAACTAACGTTATAGACTCAGTTATTGATCTTGTTTCCCCACATTTAGCTGTAGCTTGCAATAGGTGCGTTGACGAAGGTGTTTCTCCCAATTTAATGAAATACAGCAAGGTTATACCCTTATTCAAAAGCGGTAGGAAAGTTGATCCTAGCAACTATAGGCCCATTTCAATTCTACCAGCTTTAAGTAAAATATTCGAAAAGTTTACGCTGACTCAATTACTGTCCTATGTTACTATTGCTAGACTAGTTTACTTTAGTTACTTTCATAGTATAATGTCCTACGGGATTCTCATGTGGGGTAAAGCGGCAGATATTCAAATCATATTTGTATTGCAAAAACGAGCGATTCGTTCTGTGTACCGTCTAGGCTCTCGGGTTTCTCTCAGAGAAAGGTTTAAGGAGACTGGTATCATGACTGTGGCATCACATGTTTACTCAAATATTTTATATGCCCGTAAAAATATACATAATTTCAATAAGAACGAAGATATCCATAATATTAACCTTAGTGCTAAGTCCAAACTCATGGTACCACGATTTCGTTTAATCAAGGTAAACGACTCTTTTATGGAGAACTGTATACGTTTTTACAATAAGATTCCAATAAAGATTTCAATGAAGATCAATAAGATTAAAAAGTCATACTACAAATTTGAAGACTACTTGTTAGATAAATATGTATGGAAAGACAACGCAGCTCCAGAATCCACACAAATTTGATTCAAAGTGTATACCATAGCATTTAAGTTTATTTGAAAAGTGCAATCTCTAGAGTTTCTTGCTCGTTCTTCTCAGAGAGGTCAGCGTAGTAAACGAGCAGTATCTTAAATGTGACGTTTTCAAGTGTAAATTTATTTTACCTATGGAATAAATGATCTTTGACTTTGACTTTAAATACGTTTAGTAGTCAATCCGTGCCTCTAAGAAATCAATTTCGGTTTCTGATAAAGTACTTGGCAAAAAAAAGAGACGCCAGCGTCATCTATTATTTACGACGTCGTTCTTTATGGATACAAAAAACAAAAATTTACGTAGTGATTAGACCTTGCCAGGTATCTTTACAGCTACCAGAGGTTGACAAGAGATGTCACGTAATAAATTAATGTAATATTGGTAGTAATGAATTTTAAAATGTCTTACTACCATAATATCGAGTATTTTCGTTATAGACTTTTAAACTTCTCTTCATTGACTTACAATTATACGGACGTCGGGTCCGCTCTAAAAAGTGTCCGAACTTATAGGGCGTTAAAATCGTATACAGAGCGTCATTCACGCTTTAGTCTTCGTTTGTTCGACTGACAGCGAAGCAAGCAAAATTAGACAGAACTGCGATGACATTACAATTTAAATTCAACGTTTTAGCTTTTTCATATTCCTTTATATGTCACCACGTTTAAATAGGTTGACTTGGGACATTTTTTTCGTGGTTTTTGTATTAGACCCGTCGTCCATTTATTTTGTAAGTCAATGCTTCTCTTCATAAAAGTTGTTATTTTGCAAATGTTATTTATTACCAAGGGCGAGATTTGTTTTTTTTCAAACAAACCAACGTTTCGGGGTTTTTACAGTTCCCATGGTCAAGGGATTTGGATCTGAATAAAAATCCGACCTCAAAAGTCATTCATCCTCTAGCTTGCCACCCTTAAGAGGTGGAATACAAAAATAATCATTAAAATCGGTTTACAAATGCCGGAATTATCGCGTAACATACATACAAAAAAACATAGAGTCGAATTGAGAGATTTCTCCTTTTTTTGAAGTCGGTTAAAAAATAGTTTTCTTTTTCATTATGTAGCAATCGTGAAAACTTGAGAACTCGTCAATCTATCGGAATATAGTAACGAAATAAATATAATATAAGATAATCAGGGGGCCTACCACAACCTTTCCAAAAACAATCTTATGTCAATGTAAGCTTAAAGTACGTTTATTGTAATATTACTCATATTCGTACCATGGCGAACCTGTCAACCAAGTAATGTATTATTGCTAAAGTGATTGAAAGAACGAATGATTTCCCAATATTGTCTATTCCTTACTAAAAATAGAAAAGGGATAACGCTTGTGAACCATATAATGCCATCTCTTTCTTTTTTGATGTTTCGAATTGTCTTATCGTAGTATAATGTTTAGGTACTTATTGTTATTTACATTCAGAGAATTTTGACTGTTAAGAAAAGAAAAGTTGCGAAATCATTCGTTCTTTCAGTCACTTTAGCAATAATATATTACTTGGTTGATAGGTTTGTCATGGTACGAAAATGAGTAATATTAGAATAAGCTTAGTTTATGCTTACATTGAAATAAGATTGTTTTTGGAAAGGTTATGGTAGGCCCCCAGGTTCCAATTTAGAAACGTCTGTTTGTAAATTAGATAATAAGACATTTATTCACTCTCTCACTAAAAGGAAGGTTGTATAATTCCACACTTTCCATTATTTGAATTAAGCTACAGGTTAACTACCTTAAGTGAGACTGTAGTCCATATAAGGTAACTAGCCCTGTGCTGTAACACATCAGATCTGTAGATCTCCGGCTCCCACCCTATACAATTCGATTTTTTTTGTAATGAAAAGTATAAATACGCTGTTATAGTAAACAATGTGGTGACGAGTCGAGTGTGTGTTTTTACAAGTGCTCGCATGTGTATGAGTATGCAGTGAATATGAATATTATGTTATAACTATATGAATACAAAGATCGAATACTTAGAAAAAATTAATTCGGTCCGACCGGATTCGAACCGATGTCTTCTAGCGAACCGTGCCAGACTCTATGCCAACTAAGCCACGGGACGAACCAGCGGCTCTCACGAATTTTTCTATATGCTTGTTGTCGTATCTTTGTATTTGATTTTGCAACGACTTATTAGCCGTAATGCCATCTATGAGAAATTTATGAAGTATTTCGTCACGCAGTTAGATACCTTTACAGCTACTAGCCTCGATTAGAGATGTCGCTATTCACTGTATTTAATTTTTTTATTCGATATTTAGAACACTTAGAAAAAATTCCTTCGATTCGGCCGGATTCGAACCGACCGAAAATAGGACTTGTCAAGTTATGTCTCGCGAAGTGGCAGTGCCCCTCAGATCTTTGCGATTTAAAGCTCTGAGTGGCACTGCAATGATTTCGAACCCCAGGGTCCCGCCGTTTCGGTCGTGACCGGTACGAAGTCGTACATCGGCTCCAAGGCACAATATTTTTGCGTGCTTTTATTTATTTATTTATTTATTGAGGAATGACAAACAATTGTACATGGTGAGTTATACGGAATAAAAATATCGGTTTAGCTAATAGTACAATCAACCACATCATCCAGATTACTACATGAATATAAAATTTTAAATTGAAGCATAATCGCTAATTTAATTTTTAAAAGTACAATGCTGACAAAGAAAATAATTTTAAAAGTACAATGCCGACAAAGAAAAAAGTTTAAGAAACAAACAAACTTCATAACATTACTAAGTACAGTTAAAAAAGAAACAGTTTCATAATCCACTACAGTGTCATACCCAATGCTCCAGTAACCGCTCTCTTAAATTTGTATTTAGACAGATAAAAAATGTCTACTTCCGACAATAGCTCATTATAATGCTTTACCCACTAACCTTGAAGTTTGTCTTAAGTCGAAACAACCACAAATGGCTTTGGTTGCTTCCACATAACAGCGAAAGTGTTGAATCAATCAGTTTGAAAAAAATATATAGTAAAATTGAGGATACACTCTGGTTACTATATGGGGTGAAAATACGAATCCTAAAAATTTTCACAGCAGAAAAAAAGACAAACTTACTTCGAAATTTTACAAGAAAATTACTGTATTCAATACATTGATTTACAAATAAATGGACGACGGGTCTAATGCAAAAACCACGAAAAAAATGTCCCAAGTCAACTTATTTAAACGTAGTGACATGTAAAGGAATATGAAAAAGCTAAAACGTTGAATTTAAATTGTAATGTCATCACAGTACTCTCTAATTTTGTTTGCTTCGCTGTCAGTCGAACAAACGAAGACTAAAGCGTGAATGACGCTGTGTATACGATTTTAACGCCCTATAAGTTCGGACACTTTTTAGCGCGGACCCGACGTCCATATAATTGTAAGTCAATGATTCAATAGGTTTATATTATTATCAATAGAATTTTGTTGTAAATTGTTTCTTCCGGAGTGCCCAATTAGCCACCGGAGTTTTGTTGTGAGACTGTGGCGTGCCAGTCGCGTGTCTGTACCGCTTCAGTAATTTTTAGTTCACTTACATACAGTTGGAATTCCGTTTCGAAATTCCGTTTCGGAATTTTGAAGGCAGCAAAACCATATAAATCACGGACTTGTCACACACATACAGCAGTATTTAGTTCGATATTTTCTCCGTTTCGAAATTCCATATGGTGGCTTGTATATTTGGGATCCCTCACGAAAAAAACCATTTCGAATGCAAGTCTTCCATAGATTTTGCAGGGTCGCAACACACTCGTAAATTTCGTACGTATTTTCGCTGCTAGAACATCTGGACTCAATATATCACGTCTCTCAATTGAGTCTTGTTATTCCAAACGGAAATAAACGTATGTACATGTGTGTGATATTCGAATCGATATTCCGAAATGGAATTCCGCTCGGTATGTTGCCGGCCTAATTGTGACTGCATAAGTGACGTTTAATAGTTAACGTGTAATAGTTAGCTATTATATACCAGTAGCATTTTACTAAAACGCCACCTGATAGTGAATGGCTGAACCAGGATGAAAAAAATACTGAAATATTGTAATATAATTCTTACTCAAGTGACTGTAAGTTTAATTTTGTTAAATTTTAAAATTGTGTTACGCCGTTTTCACGTTTTAAGCCATACACAATCAAAATATTTTAGTTATGGTTATAGATAATCTCAGTACAGAGTACTAAAAAAACCGACCTCAAAAGTACGTGGAATTACATATAATTACCAAGTTATATTGAAATCGGTTACCGGAAAGTGCGCAAACCCGGATTCATCCCCTAGTTCGCCACTATACGGGACTTGACACAGGAGATAATTGAAAATCTGTTCTCACTACTCAAACTATATAGAGAGAAACGCCTTGCATTAAAGAATAGCAAAATCAACCATTAAAATAATTGCTCATTATACTAAAATTTAGGCGCTATTTATAAAAATGAATCTTCATGCGTGGACAGCCATCCTTAGAGGTGGATGATTTTCTTCAAAATTAAACGGGACCACTATGGAGGTGCCCTCTTTTCAACAAAAAAATATTCATGAAAAATGGTTCTCAAATACCGGCGTTATCGCGTAACATACATACAAAAAAAAAACATACAGTCGAATTGAGAACCTCCTCCTTTTTTTGAAGTCGGTTAATAATAGAGCGTAAAGTTTGAATTGCACACAAGCTAAAAAGTGGCGACATCGGTACCCGATCTTACATAGCGTCATTACATATCTCCCCTTTGTTCTATATCTATGGTCACTATAGTGGCGCTACAACTGCGCTTCCAAATATTACATGAAAAGTAGTACTGGCGCGGCAGCAGTGCTTAGACTATATTTTTTTCCATCCTATATGCAGGAGCGCCACAGTGGCGTTTCTATGAACGTATGACTTGAAGTCGCCCTAAAACATAAAGTTCAATAGGTTTTAGACCCAGGGAACACAAATTAGCATACTAACTTTGTATCGAAACGTTGTCGAATGTCCCTGAGATCGATTCTCTCTATGGACATCAAAAATCCGTCGTGGTAAGTCGCTGTCGCTTCAAAATTCCAGTCGTAAATAGTTTGCCTGAAATTAAAAAACGCATATTATTACATATAGTATATAGCTGCAACCAGTGATGGTCATGGAAAAATGTCCGTAGGTCACTTGTGATCAAACAAAATGAGTAAATTTCAAAGCAACAGACGAATATGTGTAAAATCGAGTTAATGTGTAAACGGAGGACGTTAAAAAAATCATATATGATAGATATTTTACTTAATTGTTTGCGTGTAGTTTATCATTTTAAGATTCCACCATCCATGTTTTTCTAGTTCGTACACTGTTTCTTGGATTAATTCCGTGAAATATGCAACGTGATCCACAAACGTGAGATTGTTTGATGCTGTAAAATTAAATCATCGTTAAACTGTAACCTTTTTTATACGTGACAGGCAGATGAGTTCAATCCACCTGATGTTAAATGGAAAGTGCAATCATGGAACTTAGTGCAGTGTTGATACAATCATTGCCTTAGCCACCTACAATCTGCACGCCCATTCGGTAAAAACAGATTACTTAGAAAAAGACAAAATTCTTTTTATGAAGACAAATTTATTAAATCCAACAAAACGATCCTCTCCCTATAGACGGTAGAGAATAATTACTTGATAATAGTAAAAAAACGTCTCAAAAGTGTATTTTAGTTACAAGACAGAAATATTTAATCCAAGAGCAAATTAATTTACTTCAAGTCACAAAGCCACCCTAGATTCAACAAAATATTTATTTGTTATTAGAAATGTCCGATTTTGATTTGAAAAAAAAA